AGAGGGGGTGGGGCTCTGGTTGGAACTACTTTTGCTCCACACTGGGGTCCGGGAGCTCTCGTTGGGAAAATTTAGAGAAATTGAGTCGTCTTCAAAGCAAGCGTGATTGCGTAGGAGTCGCGAACAAAATGATTTATCGTTGAATGAATGTTCATGATCGAGTAAAGTAAACTGATTGCTGATAGTAACTCATTCTGTGTTTTTTTTTATTTTAAAATATTTAACATAGCATTCATTACCTTGTGCTATATTTTAGAAGTAGCAGACTCGCCGTAAGACGTTGTAGAACATGCACAAAAATCTGTAGCACTCGCGGTCTGAATTATATTGTTTGAATAAATTAAGTGCACAAGTCTGTATTGACCATTATTTTCGCGTTGCTGACTTTATACCATAAGCTGGAAATTCAATTCGACGTATTTCTGCCGAACAAAACTATATGCATTAAGTCATGATCCCCGAGACTTATTAGAATATACGTATAACAGGGCTTACGTCATAACGCACATAGCTCCGTTTGGCAGATCTACGTCCAATTACAATCGAGATCAGGGTAGCCCTAAAAACCAACAAAAGTCAACTTTCAACCCTCTTTAATCATTTTTGATCCGCTGTATTGAGCCCTTCGAGAAGCGTAAAAGACGATTCTAGCCTTCCCATTTTAACAACCCCCTTTTCGCCCTAAAATGTTTTAGACGATGACCTCCATCTCTCCTTCTCATAATTTAGAATTTTTAGGTTTTAGGGGAGGGGTATCTGATTCTCGCGCTGACGCGAACCGGCTCACAGGGGATCAATTCAATGTGAGAGGTCGGACAAAATTTGGAAACTTTCAAGCTTATGAAGCTCTATTAAATCAAGACTTTAAGATTTTAAAAATGGTTCTGTTAGTTTTCTGGTGACATTTTCTCTTGGGAGCATACCTCTCAAAATCTAAAATGGTGAAATAATGGTGAATTAAACATAAAAAATTGCAGTTTTAGTCAAAAATTCCCTGTCCGACCTCTCTGATCGACTCGATCCACTGTGCGCCGGTCTCCATATTTTTTCACGCAACTGCCATCACGTCCTCTAATAGGTAATTTCTGCACCCCTTCACTGAAAAAAAATTCTCGGCGTTTTTATCAAGGTCCGTTGGTATCTTTACCATCTCACTTGTTTTACCAATTATTGGTAATTTTACCAAGACAGACTGGTAAGCTTACTTGAAAACCGGTATTTTTACTGTTTTTTTTTTTCAGGTAAGAATACCACTTTTATTGGTAATCAATTCCCGGTAACTTTGCCATTTTATCTCGGTAATTCTACCACAGTCAATAAAAATATTGGCGTTTGGACCAAGGTCCAGTAAAATTACCGAGAAAGTTCAATAATTTTACCGAGATTTCTCGGTAAAAGTACCAATTCCATAAATGGTAATTTTACCAGGAAAAAACTGGGATCAAATAGAACCCTGAATTCTTGGTAATTTTACCCTTTTCTTAGTAAATACACCGAGATTTTTTTTTCAGCGTTGCCTTCGACCATTCAGGAATATTTGCAAGATCCTCTACGTCCCTTTTCTTAACTCGACGAAATCCCTGCTTCCTCTACGATGACAATATCAAGTGTTTAATACTCTGCAGTCGTCTATTCCACATTGCCCACCCTATACCATTCCTTATATCTCGGCTGCGTCTCGCAATCAGTTACCCATTTTGGGAACCTGCTCCTGATTGATCGTTCCAGAGCGTGGCTACGTGTTCAACAATCTTGTAGGGCCAGTTATTGCCGCGGCGTTGCGTATTTTCCGCAGGGACACGGATTGGCTGCGGCCGTAACGGAGTTGGTAACACTGCTTTCCTTCCATTTGAATTCAGTATAAAAAAAATCGACTCTACAGGTGAGGTGGACAATAAATATCGATTGTTTTGCAAATATTGATGAGAATTGATGAGCATAAGGAATGAAATCTTTCGTTAGGTTCAATGCAACCTCTCGGGACTTCGTTATCAACCGTTGCCAAGAGAAGTCCACACGTTGCCCACTCCCGTGAGATTTATTTTCTACTAAGATAGAAGTGATTAATAGTAGTGATCTTAGTATCAATCGAAAGGTCTTCTTTCGCTTAACAGTTTATCACTTCGACTCTTGTGGATAGTTGTACGTGAACGAAGATATCACAGGATTTGTCGACGGTATCATTTTGATTACGTAACATTTTTGTGATTTTCTACAGCTTATCTGTCTCTATCAGTGCATTCCTCCGTAGATGTGACAACATCGAAGCAGCCATTATGACTGATAAGACCCAGCCTCTCTGAGTACAGCTCAGACTTTTTACCAATTTCCTGTGTTTTGAACTTTTATCACTGAACCTAACCTAGAAACAGCCGTGCCTTATTACCTATTCAAGAATTCAACTTTTGGTCCTCTCTCTAACAAAATGGACTTAGACGACTCGGATAACCACTATAGGCTTTATACCATCCGTTGGAACTTGATCTTTATATGCAATCATGGAAAAGAATTTATGGAGTGTAGTAGATGTAAATTTGAAGGAAAACCTCTGGCAAATTTGATGTGCCAACACATGGAACGCACTATAGTTTGCCATAATTGTTATATGAAGATAGAAACTCGTGACGATAGAAAACTTCCATATATTATAAACTTTTTTCTTTTACCTGAAAATGATATCACTATGATCGATGTTCGTAGAAAATGGCCATTACTTTGGGACATTATATGGAAAAAATATCCTGAAATCCACCGTTTTGCACCTATCGAGATTACCCCAGCATCTGCTGCCTCTACAGTTCCATCACCTACACCCCAAAGATCAGAAAGTGAAAAAACCTTTGTAAATTCAAATATAGGATCTGATGTTAAATTTAAATTTAGTAAAAGTTTCAAGTGCCAACATAATAGAGAAATAGTTAAATGTAAAAATTGTAACCCTAAATTAATAGAAGATCTTAAGAAAAGTAAATGCCTACATATAGTTCCAATAATAGAATGTAACCATTGTAAAAATCTTATTCTAGTACTAAAAAAAGAGAGAGAAAAAACTAAGTTAAAATTTATAAAAGAAAATGACTATATCCCTTACTCGGAATACGTTAAATTATACTTAAGCAAAAATCAAAATAAAACCAACTCGAATTCTAACAGCAAAAATAAGAATATAAACCCAATTAAAGATAGTGATAAAAAATCTAATACTGATAAAGAGGAAAAATCAAAAACTTTCGGAAAAAATAAAAAAGAAATAGAACCCACTAACAACACAGGAAAAAGAGATTTTACCATTTTAGAATCTCACTCTGATATGGAAATAGAAGAAAACGAACCAAATGTAGAACTAGAACCGAAAGAAACAATAGGAAATAAAATTTCCGCCAAGAAACCTCCACCCATTTTCATAGTCAACGAAGAACCTGATGCTATCAAAGATACTCTAAAAGATTACAGAATTGATTATACCTTGAAAAACGAATCGAACCAAAAATTTAAACTTATGATTAAATCGGAGGAAGATTACAAGGTAACACTCCAGAAACTCGTCGATCTGGGAGTGAAATTTTACACCTTTCAATTTTCTGGCGGAAAAACTTTCAAGCGGGTAATCAGAGGTCTCCCCATAAATTATGAATCAGAAAAAATTAAAATCAATTTGGAAAATACCCTAACTGACATCGAAATCAAAAATATCAGACAATTACATCAGGTAACCTCAAAAAACCCGCTTCCTCTTTTCGAGATTAGCTTCAGATCAACAGCTAAAATTATTGAAAAAATCGAAAAAATTAAAAATCTTGATAATTTTGAAATTTGTATCGAGAAAATAAGTCCTAAATATTTAGAAGTACCAATTTGTAAATCA